TCTGCAGAATTGGAAGCTAGAGTAGCAGCCAATATAAGTTATAGTTGAGCAGTGGTATAATATCCACTACAATATTCCAGAAATCGACAAAAATATATCCACGTTATGGGGAGAGATTGTAACGTCCGATCAGAATCGCGCGCTTCAAAATTAAGCCGTAGTTCTCACCTACTTAATTGGGTAGTGTTATAAATGGTAAATGTACAGTACAAGCCTTTGCTTCGATATGCATACATAATTCACATTCATTGCGCTTATATGTGGTGTACATCTAAGATTGGTACTCTGTGTGACAAGACCTGTAAAATACACCTCTTTCATAGGTGAAGCAGGAAAAACACGTCGATCATGATGAGGTGGCGTCATTTAAGTTTGTCAGCTCTAATTAGATGCACAAAACCGTTATTTGTTATCCATAAAGCAGACGTAAAAATACTGCAGTCATTTATCATAAAGACGGTGATCATTAATAAAAACCACATGGTTCAACGGCATATTTTAAATATATAGGAATTGTTTCTTAGCTCATCATCATGTAAACTGCCTATTTGTTGAGGCCACTTCAAATTGACAGATTCATGAGGAGACTGTCAACCCCAAGTTACCATATTTCCTTGTACGGTATAAACCAAAAGATTGGTGTTTGACAGTGTACCGACATGCAGCTGACTGAATCGAGTAGCCTAAGGGTATCGAATGCCTCTGTATTATTATTCCGCATGCTAGGTAGTACTTTGTTTTCACAGTTTGCTACCATGCAGAAACATGCGCGAAATCCTACGAGGTATTGTGGTAAAAGTTTCATAATTCTACACTAAATCTCCATCCCATAGACTGAACTTGACACGCACCAACGAAACTACACATATCCCAATAGACCACTTCTAAACGACGCATTGATGAAGTTCGGAAGAGTTAGAAATTAAGAGAACGTTAAACATTTCATTAATTTACATAGGACAATTACGATGAAGAGTGCTGGCATTAGTTTGACCGACTAGCACTCTACCTGATTTCACATTCAGCGACGTTCAAGTACATATAAAACAAACGGTATGAAAGAATTATCACAACATGAAGTTACATAAGATGATTTTGTATATTGATATACCCCATCTGTTTTCCAGAATTAGAGGATTTGACTCAAATATTTTAGAGTCTCTGAAACATCCATTATTTTTTATTACTTTACTCTTCCAGTGTAACACAGGGCTTCAACCCAGTACTTTGAAGTTTCGCCAGCAATTGTGTTTATTTTTCACAGGATGAGATCGCCAGCCTCATGCCCAGTCTTGCCTCTTTACCAGCCCTGTTATTGACTTAACGAGGCGAAAGAGTGAGCTGGCCGAGTATCGAACCCTAGGTCACACAACTACCCAGATACACAAACTTATCAACAACTTCAAGTGGTTCATCTGCAAGAGTGAGTGCAGGTACAGGCTCCTGCCAATCTTGTAACAGTACTTTGCACTTGGAAGGCGCAAAGCACATACCATACTTACAGACACTGATCGCCAAGTGATTAAGTGCGATTTGGGCAGCCTGCATGCTATCGCACAGTAAGACCATATCGCCTGCATACTCGAGGTCGAGAAGTCTATCTCCAAGGCTCAGATCTACACCACCTTCACGCACATCCTTCAGAGCTGACTCCAGAACGTCATCGATGGCTAAGTTAAAGGAAAATGGAGAGATTGGGCAACCCTGTCTAACAGTGATGATAGTTGGTTGTATGCCCTCACTCTACCTGAGGTGTTTCTGCATAGGGCTTTCAAGATGTTAACAAATTTCTCAGGTATATCTCTCTCTAACAGACAGTTCCAGAGCACAGTTCTGTCCAACGAATCGAAGGCAGCCCTAATATCAAGAAACACAACGGTCGTTGGTCAGCAGTACGTGTTGTGGTGTTATAACAACTGACGAAAGGTGAACACATGATCAGTGCATCCAAGAACTGAACGAAACCCAGCCTGCTCTTCCTGAATCATTCCTTCACGTGTTTCGCACAGCCTGCGAAGCAAGACAACTGCCAATATTTTAGACGCGACTGGTAGCAGACCGATACCCCTATGATTGTCACACGAGTTACGTTGACCTTTTTTAAAGATGGGGAAGATAATAGCTTTGTTCCACATTGATGGTACACTCTCTGTCTCCCACACCTTCCTGAACAACCCAGTTAGAGGCAGTGTGAGAGTCTCACCACCATCTTAAAAAAGAGCCGGTGGTAAATCGTCTGGGCCGGGCGCCTTATGGCGTTTCAACACCTGAAGTTCCCTACAGACCTCCACTTCAGCGGGTGGGTCGGTACTAACCGACCAAGGAGCACTGGGGCTAATGACAGTAGACACTGAAGCTGGTGGTTAGCTAAACTGTTTCCCGAAGTGCTCTACCCAGCGTTCCCGGCTTCTTTTCAAGTTGGGAATTGCAGTGCCATCTTCCTCACGGAGCGTCTCACTGACACCTTGTTTCTTGCTGCCCGTGGCTCGTATGAGTTGGAACAGCTTCCGACTGTTGCCAGATGCAGCAGCTGACTCCATTTCACACGCACGTTATGACCGGCAGGCTTCGTGGTCCTTGCGTAAAAACTGTCTTATCTTGCGCGTAAGCGCCTTTCACTTATTGCTGTATTCACTACCACCAGGAATGGACCGGCGTTCATCCAGGAGCTGCAAGGAACTCGCAGAAACCCAGTGGTTTTCATCGGAGCATTCTTTCGAACCGCAAGCGGCTACACCCGCCCTTTACATGGCACCTTGCAGATGAAGCCAATGGTCATCTATACTACTTGGGGGGTTGCTGGCAAACATTGATTGTAAATCATTCTGGTATTTCAAAGAAGTAGCGGGTGCTACTAGTTTGCCCACATCAACGTTTAGACGACGCCTTTAATGAACCCCACCAAATTGCAAGACGAACTTGGCACACCCTAGCGCGTGATCGGAGTCCAGGCATGTGCTCCAGAACGAGTGACAGTCTTGTATGCATCCTCGCCACCGGAAACTGACAGCAATATGATCGATCTGAGTCCGAGCTTGCTTCGTAGAGGGAGGACACCAGATAGCGCTACGGAGATGGATGTGCCGGAAGTTGATGCTGGTTAGAAATAGGTTGGGATCCGCGCAAAGCTGCAGAAGACGATCCCCATTACCCGACCCGCGACCATGTATTCCCCATTGACCACCCAGACGATTCTCCTCTCAGCTTAGACGCCCGACCAGTGCACAAGGTGGATTAACTTTACATTAATTTAGTTTACTTTATAAAAAGAAATGTGTCACTTGGAAATTAAGCCACACCCCATGTTATATCTAGTGGACCCAGTTTCGTGAATCCTCCAGAAACTACACTGGTACATTTGGGAAACTGCATTTATCAACTTTAAGTGCATAGGTTTCAAGTCCAAACCTTATATGGTTATGCACAGCGTTAACACTGTATAGATGAATGATCGCGAAAAATGAATATAGTTGAGAGATATTTTATGCACTGAATACACATTACACTGCAATTACACATTTGATCCACCTATGAATAAGTTTTCAACTGAAGATAATTCTTTTCCAAACACACATCGGGAAAAACACATGAGAACAGAATCCTGTTCTCAGAGGTTCTGTTAGCATTCGTAGGTGATTTCCATGTACTGATACCATTAATTTATCAACTAATGCTGCGCTTTACGTTAAAATAGGCTGTATTGATATCCTAATACGTGTGGAGTCTTCATGATACCATGAGTGAAAGTGCAGCTTCTACAGGTAACTCTAAACTATAGCAGCCCAAAACGAAAGTACGTAATAAGGACCGTTGAAAAATTTCCGTCAACTAATAAGATATGCCCGTAGTGCGGGTGAGTAATTTAAAAAGACGTTTGTGTGAGGTTAAGGCGGTGTTAAAATGTGCCTATTTGAGATAACATTTTCCTATCTATTCCAAAATACCTTCCAGTCTGTCATTGGAGTTCTAATAATTACGTCAAACAAATTCCTTTACATAAATTAACTCAGATGGATGTAAAAACCATCGTGTTTCTCGACTCATTCTCCGCTCTTATCCATCTTTTGGAGTGGCTCCAGAAACTTTATGCGGAATTCGTGTGGGTTTCATCGAAAGGAGTAACAAAATCGTCCGTATTGTTGATCACATTGTAAAATAGTCCACGAATGACTGCTGGTTACATGTTTTCCAACTTTGAATGGGCCTGCTGTCTGAAGAGTACTAGAATACTAGATTTAAATGAAATTCACACGGCATCTACAATTCCCTCTTTATACTACGGACTCATCTGACTGGTTGCTCAAGGTCGTTAATCCGTTCATTAGGTAGTTTCATTTTTGGCTGTTGTGACTGAGAGTCACTATTTCAGCAAAGTTCGCCTGAAGCGCAAACCATTGAAGCCATTATACTGATAGCGTGCCGCATCCAGGCCACGTGTCGCAGATCCCAACATGCCATATCAGCAAATGAGTTCCCATCAACTTAGACAATATATGACGCATTGATATAAGAATAGAACTAGTGCACTGAAGCAGAGCATAATTGATGAAGTCTCACAGTGTCATACAGTAGTATTTACTTATGATGTTTCAAGCAAAATATATTTCTCACAATCATATCAAGGTAATCATGCAATTTTCTAACTTCGTTTATATAATCCCATTATTTCTCATCGCTTGACTTGATTGGCAGTGGTATTTTCCCATTTCCGTTATGATTGATAAGTCATTCCTATTGCACGTGTTGAGTGTAGACTCGATCCTCGATCATCGAGTCTGCCTAAAATGGAATATATGACACACTTCTGTTAAAAGTTATTGACAAAATAATTTACCTAGTGAAATTTCAATCCACTTGCCGAATAAGTTCAGCCGATAGGGTTTATGCCAGGTGTTGTTATCCCAAAACTTCAGAAGTATTTCAGTAACTTCAGCAAATTAGGCGAAGTAATTTGAACTTTTCATTCCTGAAGTTACTGCTAGCTGAACTTAGGACAAACTAACAGAGTTCTCAAGAGTGAAGAACATGAAGGTCACTCAGTAAAGCAGAAGGGGATTTGACTTTAAAACGCACACGTTGGGTAGGTGTTTCGTCTTAGTGTGTTATTCATAATGGACCTTTAGTTCTACGCAAAATTTATTCCTGGTTTACTGCTATGACTCCATTGACACTGCTGACCCAATCATATCAGTCATTGTAGATTAGGTTATATTGAGACGCGACCGTGTTTTGACTCAAATAGAAGGATTTCGGTGTTTTTTTTGGGAACTAAATGCAAATAATATGGGTAAATAACTTCTTTACCCTCAAAACCCCAATCTTATGCCTTGAAATTTCCCACGAAACCCGATAATCTGCACGAATAGTTAAGAAGGCGGTTGCAACGAAGAAAATTTTCTTTCCGACGAAGTTATCAACTAAGGTATACATTCGTGTGTTTATATTACATGTGTGAGAAAGTCCCAAAATTATTTCCAGTCAGATGTCAGATTGTTAAGATTACTTAGTGTAATAAACAGAAGATAGGTAGTGGCACTGATGTAGAAATATTTCAGGCTAAAGGTCAAATAAAAAATTAGTGTGTAATAACCAGGAAGATTGGGTGGAAAAGGCAAAATAGGATCATTATTACTAGAAAACCAGTCAGTTTGTATAATTACAGGTTGCGGATGCAGTATTAACGAAATGGGTAGGTGGTTCGGATATATAATAAAAGCAGTGACCAAATCTATTAATGCAGATAGGGACTTAAAAGGTTAGATAAGAAAGGCAATAGGATAATCATTATTGGTGAGATTGACTTCATGATGCCCACGGTAAGGACATCGGTTGGACGTCTTTCTTTGGGACGCAAGACAGGCTTGAGTTTTTGGATAGTTTGTGCCCCAGCTATTCCTAGACGTCTTCATTTCACTCCCTTTGGTAGGTCGGATCGGATCAGTCGAGTTTTAAAAGTTCCCACTTTGAATGAAACTCAGTGTATATCCTACGTCCCTCCGATATTTCTCACGCTTCTACAACGGGTGAAGTTAAACTATAACACTCCTGATGGATTTTACAGCAGGTCTTGAGCAATTAGTCTAGAATTAAGGAACAACAAAATTAGTGGAAACGTTCGAAAGATAATTGCATATTATGGGTTCTGTGGTTCGTTTATATATCAGATTTTTTCTTTGTTATGCCTTATAATCCGAATCCTCCGATCAATTATCCCTTCAACCTTCCTCCTCACAGGCTCGTTTTATTAGGTTCAGTCAATTCATCTATAAAGATGATACTTGATCTTCTTGGAATCCGTTCCGCAAATTCAGGGTGAAAGACCTAATATGATGTGGTTGTAGCATGAGGGATTCTCCGATTTCTTCTCATGCTCATGCTTTCGTAAAACTCCTATATATATATATATATATATATATATATATATATATATATATATATATATATATGTAATACACCAGCCAACTTCCTGTCCACAAGAAATTTCCAAAAAGGATCTGTGGATAGTGTGAAATTCAGCAAATATAATTCGTGGGTGAGTAATCAGCAGCTAGGTTCGTCACAGCCATATAAATTCCAGGCGAATCAAATTTGAAGTGTATGTGGTTGTAGGCTTCAAGGAGGAAAGAATGACACTAGTATTGCTGTAGTGGTCGTAGTACAATCCACTTACCTTGCTCGTTTAAATAATAGTATGTCGCTTAGGCTCGCAGATGTCAAATGTACGTAAACCAAAAGTCTGGCTATGGCTTCCTATTGTTTCTGTGAAACGCATCAGTTTGCCGTGTGGTCATCCACTGCGGTTAACATTTGAAGTAACTAGCTCTGCTCATCTTATCTTTGTGTGTAAATAATTATCGTCCATTATTGTGTTCGAATAATTTATTTGAACATTTGGTTTCATATGTAACTCAAGAGTGCACACCAAAACTCTTGTTGTAGATTTCTTCTTATTGTTTTTTAAAATTTATGAGAGATTTTGTAGTGTGCCTTGGAATTTACTAGGTTTATTTACTGCATTCATACAAGTCCTCTTCTAAATCCATCCTCAAGGATATTTATGATGGCAAGCAAAAGAAAAGCATCCCCGAAAGATGAGTCATCTATTTCCTCCCTTTCAGATCTCGACGAGGTAACCTTAAAATACTTTTGTGACATTTCCAGCATGTTGAAACCAAGAAACCTAATCGATCAGGTGGTTCTACAAAATCATCTAAAACGACGACATCTGGCGGAGAACAGTTAATTGATTTAACGGGGAAAAAGTTCGCTTGCGTCAGAGATTTTAGGGGAAAGGTGTTTGTGGACATACGGGAGTATTATGAAGACAAATCCAGCGGGGAATTGAAACCTGGAAAGAAGGGTAAGAAAATATTTTTATTAATTTGACTTATGAAAATTAACTCGTGGTAGTCTGGTTAGCCTGATTAATGATAAAAGTAAAAAATGTAAGGTTGCTGGTGATAATATGAAGCAAGTCAGTTTGACAAAACGTGTTTACAGTTCTTATGTCAATGATATCGATTTCAACTGATACTCTACAAATTCAACCTATTTTAGAGAGGGGTATTCAGTGGTGCATAATACGAGGCTCAGTAAGCCTGATAGTACCTACTTTGTAAACTGGTTCTTATTCAAATTCACGATTATTATTTCTAGGGTTCCGAGCAGAACATAGGACTTCCATATCACATCTCCAATTCACCCTGTTCTCTGTAGTCCTCTTCAGCTAGTTCCGTGATTGCCCATAAACTCTCATTTCCCCCATGTCACCCGCAAATGTCCCACTCATTCTTTCCCATTCGGGCTGCACTCGACGGCCTTGCGCGCGATGTCATTGGATGATTGTAGCAGTGTGTGTCCGTTCTATCTCCATTTTCTTCTGCATATCTGTTGAGAAATAAGTCCTTTGTTAGTTCATTCGCAGAGTTCCTTGTCGTTCGTTCTTTTTGGCTATTTTGTCTTCAATATGGGGCTAGGGTAGTTCTTGATGAAAATCTTCACTGACTTGTTGGGAATGTTCTTCGTGACGCTTAAAGTTTTTGACCAACATGGAACTGACTTCACACTGGTGTTCAAAATCCGAATTTTGTTCATTTTGCTGAGTTCTTGTGGTACTATTGTACTTGTATGTAAAGAGAACATAAGTATCAGCATCAAACCGAATTGGTGGTCAAGTTATAACATAGCATGAATCTGTGAATTCTTTGACTTTTTGAGTCCCAGGAAGGTACAAACTGATTGGCGTGCTCAAGGCGCTAAAAATTAATGACTAGAGATTCGGTCACTTGTTTAAAGTCATTTTGAATGGTGCAGGTGCATACACTTTTTGAAATTGCAGATGTATTAAATTGTTATTCTCCCCGAACCCATTCCGTTTATTATGGTTAGTTTGCATTTCTTACCTACCTTTATGCTTCAATAAAGTGTACCAACGCAAACGTTGAAAATTTGTTGGGGGGTTAAAAAACAGAGTAGCAGTGATACTACGTTAAAAGGGGGCAAGTGGAGGAAAGTTGGAGGCTTTTGGAATACTCTATTTTACCACTTCGTTTCAGTGAGCGTATTCAATGTTTCGGAAGTGGTAAGCGCTTTTACATTCATCAATGCATCTACTACGAATTTAGTGAGTATTACGGGTTGTCTTAATACATATCCTATTAACCTCCACATACTGTTGACCAATTCAAATAAAGATCTGTGGTTTATAGAGTGTTTGTCAGTTCCTTTCTTTACTCTGTAGGAATATTCTGTGATTGTTGCCTTTTTCCTGTTTTCATTCACTTTTATTGTCTTATGGCATTTTCATTACGTCAGTTTTCTGTTTGTATATCACCTAGGGACGGTTTCGACCTCGTTTGATGGCCGTAGTTAAGATGACGCTTAGAATAATTATTCTAGTTTTAGTTCTCAGCTAAATGTTCACCTATTTAGGGAGTGACTGGTGTCCAAGTTGTTAGCTGTTCACTGGATATATAGGCGTGTCAGATGAGAAATGAGTGGTAATATAACAGGCGCAGAAATCGCTATTTAAATGAATAAAAACAGCATGTTTATTGTGAAAATAAACTTCACTTCATCCTAATTTTTTTAGGAATCTCACTGAACTTGGAACAATGGGAATATTTGAAGAGTTCTATAAATGATTTGGATGAGGATGTAAAGAAAATGCGACGATAGCCCTCTTCTCGAACACGAGTACTGTTTGTTGAAATTATTGTTGCTGCTTATGGCTAAGTACATTGGCCAAGCAATTCTGTTTCATAAAAGTTTAATACAATTAATCCTGTTTAGTAAAGATGAAAATATATCACTTATTTTGTTTGTAAAACCAACTGGTATTTCACGTGTTTTTTGATTGCGTAAAGTTGTTCAGTTATCAGCATTTTAGATAAGAAATAGTGGTTGCATCGTTGCCTAGGGCGGAGAGGGGATGTGTGCTATCGACAGATGAAAAACTCCGTCATAGAACTTGGCACGTGCTAATCTGGTTGCAGTCGACTGGATCACGCAGCAGATTGGGGAGCAAAAAGGAGGAATACTTTGAGCAGAATAGAAGACTTGGGCTTCGTGGATAATATGTCACAAATTTGAAGGTTTACAAGGGAAAATCAAAGTCTTTGAAGGGAGTAGCTCTTTTCTGGAACATCTTTTTATGATCCAATGGGAATTTTTAAATTAAATTCAGCAAGATGGCAAAAGAAACAGAAAAAAAGGACTTCATGTGAACATAGAGAAGACAAAGGTGATGTAGATACCCAATCAACAACAATAAGAACCATTGAGCATCAATGAGAGAGATTTTAAAATCACTCCTTCCACTTTTGTTTGGGCAGCGTCGTTTCAGCTAAACGCGGAATGGATGGTGTCAAACAGGGTCGGAAAAGCAAGGCAAACCTTCAGTAATCTGAAATCAGCGAAGATCTGTTGCACTCGGCAGAAGAAAACAAGATTTAAATTTCTAACACGTGTCAAATTAGTTTTATATGGTGTAGAGACTTGGCGCCCCACGAAAAGCATTTCCAACGACCCACTACAAACTTTTATCAACATCTGCCTTCGTTCGATACTAAAGGTGAGGTGGTCTGCAAGAAGTAATGAGCAACTCGGGACTGTGGGAATGAACTAACTACTTGTCGCTCAGCATATATGCAGAAGATAGTGAAGATGGATTGGATATACACTGAAGAGACAGTTGATTGATACCACGCGTCTAACCCTTGAGTGGAACCCGAATGGGAAACAACGAGTTGGGCGTTGAAGGACAATATGGAGGAGGTGGGAATTTATGTGCAATCTTGGCAACAGAGAACAGGGTGAAATGGAGATGTGCTGTTAAAGTTGTATGTTCCACTCGGAACCTTAGGGATTCATAGTATTTCAAACTTGTATTTTTCTGGTCATCTGGAATATCTGTAGAATTAGCTGTATTTTATGATCTTACTAACTTCCTCTGAAGGAATCAACCTTTGCCTCAGTGATCATTTAAAAGAAACGAGATCTAATATGATGCGGTTCCTTCAGTTATCACTGATAGTTGATGCGGTTCCAGCATACTACGAAGTGAATGACCATGTTTTATCAGAATAAAACGAAAAATCTCATCAAAAGATAGTATATTATGCCTCCAAAGCCTCAGGATGGTGGGGGGTGGGTGCCTTGCGCTGCGGGTTGGCCACCCCTCCGCACACCTCTTGAAATGCTCCCATACGACCGGGCGTCTTACATGGCCCTGAGGAAGTCCTACTCACTGCCTTCACGTGCCAAGCCATCGCCTCCCTCGACGAGCAATGTTAGCGGATATAGGGTCAGGCTGGAAAAAAGCTAGCGGCGGTCAAACAAAAACTTGGCACCAGTCAATGAAATCCACAACAGTTGGTCTAAGCCACGTAGGAAGGTGTAGACTTCCAGGCTGGGGTCCTCGGGACGGTAAAAATCTATGGTTGGAAACAATTGGTGACATGGCTCAAAATCGTTCTCAGTGGCGTAGATGCATCCACTCCCTGTGACTTATGTTCTCCAATGAAACTGTTTTGTATTTCTTTATTACTCCTTTGTCTCACACCTCTGCTCACTGTTTCTATTATGCTTTTCTTGTACTTTCTTCTCTTGCTTTGCGTGCTACACGGAATGTGGCGACTTGAACTTCCGCACATTTGTGCAAAGTTCTATGTCGAAAACAGACAGAAAGACTGCCTTCACGTGGCGGAGTTGTTTTTCACCGAAGTGAGAGGGCGAAAGCGGTTGCCCGGCGCTCTTCACCGGGTTGACTGTCCATTGGATGACAGTCTAGGGGAGATGGCTAAACCCTGATTCCAAACCTCCAACGACTGGTGTATGAAGCTCACTGGAGCTCACCGGCAGACGTATGGACAAAGGGCTTGTTGGATGTCCTGGATGTCTGGCTCCATTCAAAAAGGCGTATGAACCGAACTCCGGTCACCGGCTGCCAATGGATAGTGGACTCCCTACTCCACTCCTACTGCCTTGTAGGTCACACTTGGTTGTGTAAAGGCTAGAGCTGCACTCTCAAACAAAAGGCCGAGCGATGCTGGGGACATCACTCGTACCAAATTCCCATGAAACTTCATGAACTCTCTTACAAACAACTCTCACCATGCTACGGCGTTCCCGGTAAGCGACGCGCCCTGTGCTCACCCGGTGGCCAGTGTGAAAAGTAAGCCAGCTGGGAAATTAACACTTAGAAACCAACTATTTGTTGGCTGCTGGAATGTTAGGACGCTGTTGGATCCTGGTAGCCAGTCTATCACCATGCGTTCTTTATACGACTACAAGGTGGACATAGCGTGTCTATCTGAAGTGAGGTTACCCGATCATGGCTCCCGCCGAATAGCCGTACCTGGAACAGATTCTTCATTCTGGTTGCTTCATAGTGGACCCCAGAATAATTCGGGACAACATGGGGTAGCATTTGCTCTCAGTAACAAAGCCAATAATGCCCTAATATCATTCGAACCGGTCAACTCCAGAGTTGCAATCGCTAGGTTCAAGGGTTCCCCGCTCGACATTTCTGTTCTCGCTGTCTATGCCCCAACCCTCGACTCTGATGAAAGTATCAAAGACGAATTTTATGACAATCTTCAAGAGGCAATCAACAAAATCCCAAAGCGTGACGTTCTCATAGTAGCCGGCGATTGGAACGCCCGCACTGGCCCTTCAGACGACGCGACAAAACATATACTAGGCAAACACGGTCTCGATCAGCGCTGCCGTAATGGTGATAGACTTTTAGCTTTTTCTGATTACAATCGATTATATATCACCAACACTCGATTTCAACACCCTAGAAAACATCTCACCTGGTATTCGAACGACGGTCGCACTGCACATCAGATCGACTACATCCTAGTGCGCTCACGCTGGATCTCCTCGGTGGAAGACTGTCGATCCTATCGTGGCGCAGAGGCCGGAAATAAAGGGGGATCAGACCATACTCTAGTTAGGGCGAAATTCAAACTTCGTTTAACAACACGCCAGAAGCCGCGACCTCCGAAGCGTATCAATGTTGCCCCGCTTCAATGTTCGACAAAGCGACAAGCCTTGTCCAAACAAATCCAGGCCGAACTAAGCGCCGCAGATGAACCAACATCCACATCTTCTAATACACCTGAGACACGATGGAATCATTTCAAAGAAGTAGTCTCTAAAGCTTCAATGTCGCATTTGGGTACCACATCCAACAAGCAGAAAGACTGGATTTCAGAGCACACCATGCATCTATCCTCGCAAGCCAGAGACGCTCGCCTAGCAAAGTCTCCAGTTTATCGCTCCCTCAGGCGCAAAGCTACACAGTCTGCTAGGAATGACAGAAATCGCTATTGGTCTAATGTGGCGACTAACATGGAAGCAGCATCAAATGTAGGCGATTTCGGAAAACTTTATCGCCTCATACGCCTATCATCTGGCAAACGCCTTAACAGTCATGCTGTGTTACGCACAGCATCAGGAGAAATTATTTCGGACACCAATGGTAAGATGGAACGATGGGCCGAACATTTCAAGCAGCTACTCAATCGCAACGCTGGTCAACCGTCTCATCGACCGATACGACACTTACCAACACCCTACGTAGTTGACTGCGATCCACCCACTCCAACCGAAATAGCTAAAACAATTAACAGACTCAGAAACAAAAAAGCTCCGGGCGAAGATGGTCTACCTCCAGAAATATACAAGGCCTGCACTCCAGCGCTAATCGATTCGCTGTTCTGCTCAATTTGGGAGTCCGAAACCATTCCTTCCGATTGGAGCACCTCAGTTCTGCTACCGTTCCACAAAAAGGGAGACAGGTCAATATGCGAGAACTACCGAGGCATAAGTCTGATTGATATCGCTGCTAAGGTTTTTGTTTCCATTCTCCTGAACCGCTTCGCGGCCGAACGCCACGTGCGAACAAGGCCAAATCAAGCCGGATTTCGACCTGGAAGAGGCTGTGTTGATCAATTATTCACACTGCGAAGAATTTTGGAACACAGGGACAAATTCCAACAGCCGACGGTTGCTTGCTTCATCGACTTCCGAGCGGCATTCGGGTATCTAATGGAGCTCGACGGAGTTCCGACCAAGCTAATCAACCTGCTCAGGTCATACTACTCCAACACCAAAGCTCGAGTCCGAGTGAACGGTGAAGAGTCTCGCACTTTTGAGGTAACCAGCGGTGTCCGGCAAGGTTGTCCAGCATCCCCCATCCTGTTCAATTTCACAATTGATTGGATTTTGCGGCACGCCCTAACCGAGCACCACGGCGTCCAACTTTCGCCCGATATTCACATAACCGACCTCGAATTCGCCGACGACGTCGTGTTATTAGCTGAAAACTTCCCCGATATGCAACAGGCGCTCGATCAGATAAACCACCTCGCGTCTACTATCGGTTTGGAAATTAACACTTCCAAAACCAAAATGTTTTCGAACACATCCACCAGCAATGATGAAATCTTATCCCTGAATGGAGCACCTATTGAAATTGTGCCATCCTTCAGATATCTGGGATCCATAATGCTCCCCAACGGTCAAGCGAAAAACGAAGTGAATGCGCGAATCTCCAACGCCCGGAATGCGTTTCTACAGCTGAGGAGCGTTCTATGGAGCAAGAGAGAAATCAGTCTCAGGACTAAAATTCGGGTCTACCAAGCTTCCATACGACCCGTTCTCCTGTATGGCTGTGAAACCTGGCCTCTTCGCGCGGAAGATTTACGCAGACTCGAGGTAGTAGACCATTGGTGCCTCAGGTACATTCTGCATGTTCGTTGGCAGGACAAACTCTCCAACGAAGAAGTGCGTCGTCGTTGCTACAACATCAACCAAATTCCAGTACTGGTCCAACAACGTCGCCTTCGGTGGTTTGGCCATGTTCTGCGCCGACCAGATGACGATCTGGTCAAATCAGTTCTAAATCCCTCGCCATTTCCATCTTGGCGATGTCGCAGGGGTGGACAGCTGAAAACATGGCTGATATGGAGTGCCTGGGCTGGGGCTACAAACCGTCTACGGACTCCGTCTGTGGAACAAGAATTGGATAACCCTGTGGCAAAACCTTGCATCAGATCGCCGCGCCTGAGCAGCGATGATTCGAGATGTTTATGAAGCCGGCTAATCCTCCCGTAGGAGATAGCCGAAGTAAAGTAAAGTAAGTAAGTATAAAAAAGGTATTTACGATACTGGAATCATTGGATTAACCGCTGAATATGAAATAAAATATGTAGTGATTGAAATTTAGGATGAATTTGTCTTCGTGTTGGTTGGTGGTGAGGAGTACCATTTTATCCTGCCTATGTTATCCTGTATCCAACAGACAAAACGTCAGCAAATTATTAACGCCACGTATGCTGCTAAAGAAAGCATGTTCACAAAGACGTCTGAATGCTACTTTATTTAATTTTGTCAAGAGTACTGTATGTGAGCGTAATGAGCACCAGAGTAAGACGAGATGTCAAACTGAAGATTGGATTCTCTACACTTCTGTTAACGATAAGAAATTTTAGCGCTGAATAACACAGGTTGATATTTTGGCGTGTTCTACGTAGATTGTGTCAACTTCAAAAATGTAGAATTTTGATGCGGTTCAGCTTATTGAATGTAATCTGTCAACCAGTTAAGAATTTAGGTTTCATAATTCATTGAGCTTGTAATAGTCACCATGATATGGTGTTCAACCAATCATAAAAACAACACATTAAAATTACTTAGTAGTAGGTACGCAAGACGAAGTCTTAGTAGTGTCTGATTAGGTAGTGGCCACGAGATGTTGAGTAAGTAGATGTGACTTCAGTCAAAGTTATTTACAAGAAGACCATCTAGTTGGGCTGTCTGACTATGCATAGGCTGTGCAACATTGCTGTTCAGAATTCATAATTGTTATCATGTCAGATTCTATGAAAGCTTTCTACTATATGCTTGACAATATCATTCAAGCTAGTGTCCGTGACTGCTAATACTGATGCTTCATTTACTTAGGCTGAGCGTATCTGTCTTTTCGCTGATACAATTCTAAGCACGGCGTGATACTGTTTTAGGGGCTTAGCCATTTGCAGGATATCTCATTGACTTGCAGGCTGTACTACTCATTCAAATACGAAGCTGGAGATGCTTATAGTATAGACAGTAATCCTCTACACATACTGTACATGTATTCGGCACTTAGAATTAAGAGTTACTTCATTCGTTAGAATATCGTCTGATGACAGTTTGTTACATTCAAAAACTTAAGTCCCAAGAATGACTTTAAGTACCTTATGACTAACATGTCGGCAGTAATATCAAAGTCAGCTGACGCTAGAAGTCACTCAGTAGTGTTCTTACATTGGTCTACGTTTTGACATGGGAAAATACTGCAAGGTGATGGCCTGAAAACCAGTTACTAAACAGCTGTGTAGAACTAGCCTGACTGGTCAGTAATTTTATGTGTAAACTAACTCAGAGGTGGGTACCAAAGAAAACGTCCCAAAGTGATGGTTTTTAATCAAACCACTATAGGCTATTCTGCTTCACAATTTCGTTTGCATGGGACATTTTGATTTCATCTAAGTAGTCGAAATAATTGTTATTTTAACGGTGTTTTTGAGAGATAGCGAAAGCAAGACTAATTTTTGGGGCTTTCTATCAATTGATTTTTACACTAAGCAAGAAAAGGAGATAATCATTCATCTTTCGAAGTCACACTATCGTTCCAACCAAGAATAAGGACTCAAGAAACGCAGCCTTGAATCGTATCTAAAAGACGGAACTATTCCCGCAAATGTTCGAGAATTTTTATGTACATAAATCATGCTGTTGTATAGCTGAGAATAAAAACAATTAGGTCTTTTTTGACTCAATTATAAAGCATGGACAAAGTTGAAAACTAGTTGAATGGTGAATATGAACGATTTAAATAATGTTTACCATCTACCAAAGAGTACCACCGTATCCAGTTCTGACAGCTTTGATAAGCGGTACAGATTATTCGATTACAAACAAGGTATTTTAACTGGTAACTCGTTGTGAAGTAACCACCTAGAAAAAACGAATGAATAAAACAACCAATAAAACAAAAGCCAATTTACAATGCCTCAGAAAACATGAAAATATAAGTAGTTCCTCGGTGCATGCACTGTACACAAAGAAAATACAATGGTTATTTCGCCACTCACAAAACAAAAATAGTGTTACTCAAATTGATTTACATAAAACTTGTGAAAGTTGTTTCAAAAAAAGGGAAAGACTTTACACACATGTGATCACAATGATTAGTAATAAACAGCGGTAGTCCCTTTTTCCATAAGAGATTGATTCAAGTGGGACTTTAAAGCTAATATTAAGAAAGGAACTAAACACGTGCATTTGTGTCTGAAAGGAATGTTTTGCATGTTCACACTTAAGGGTAAACACTATAAATATATTAAAGACAATAAAGTCAGAGGAAGGATAACAACACGAATTCAGTGTAAACGAAAGCTTTCAGGGAGGAGTGGAGTAAAACTTGTGTTTACATTACAGAAATCCTGATTACGCGGGTGAAGTGTAGTGGTTAGTTTTGAACACGAAGGGATACGGAGAAACTGTTGTTACTCGGCGGAGGATAACTTTACATCTTTGCGTCGAGATTTGGAAAAGCTTCATGCATTCTTATTCAAAACAAACAACAATTCAGATTTTGTTAAGCCAACTTCAAGAAATGACGGTGGATCATCCTGACTTTTAGAACGCCAGTCTGTAATTACTTCGAATTCTTCAAGAGAATCCACTTTATGGTCCGAATTGTCAATGTAGTCTTCTATATCAGACTCTTCGGAAGGTTGACATGGCAAAACACGTTTAGGAAAATTGGACTGTATCTCAAACTCCGTCGGTGAATCTTCTTGAGACAGCACAAAATAGTACAGCATCTGAAAAATATTAGATCAACAGCTATTTAAGTATTTACCTTACATTTATTCCACTTTATGAATTTGAATAAAGCAAGAACAACAGTTTGTGCAGGACAATTTTAATATATTTGCAAATGTGACAAGACGCTCCGAACCGAATCAGCAGTGCCTCTTGTCAACTGACGTCACAAGTAACATTTGCAGGTATATTAAGATTTTCCTGTACGTAGACTTAATTTTTTTGGTCGTACACAGGCGATGGGAAGCCAACGAGATAAATGATGGTACCGTCTTATTTTGCATAAACTAAATATTTACTACCAATGATGAATCTTTTAGTTCAAATTAATAAATATTACCTTAATAGAATCATTAACATTAAAAACACGGGAAACCCTGGAACCTTGTGGCATCTTGAATGATAGCTGTACAGTAGATCCCTCTTGAAACTTGGGTTGTGGAGGTAGACGACGCTGCCAAACAAGTTTACGTTTTTGGTGGGCATTTTGTAGGTCCTCTTTGCGCTTAGCTTCTCTAGCCAGCTGTTCAGCTGCTAAAGCAGCACTCCGTTGTTGAGCTTCCCGAGCAGCTACTTTGGCACGGTCTTCCGCCAGTGAAGCTTCATATGCTAAGTCCTGTTCACGCCTCAGTTGAGCATTTATCTCTCGCTCGTTCCTAAATACAGAGAGGAATTCATTAAGTATTAAAATAAACATGATGTACGAAATAAAAATCGCTATAATTCTCATTTACATCGAGATCACACCATTTCCTAAGGAGTGTATTTGATACAGGATAAGTGTGGAACAATATTTTACACTCATTTAAATTATGTTACATGGTGTTTTATAACTTTTCACTTCTTTCTAAGGAAAGTGCGTATTCAGAAGAAGCAATCGGTAGTAAATTGACACTTCTTAAGATTTGCGAAATCGGACTGCAACTTAGGTAATTTGAAATGAACACCGAAAAGGCTTACTCTATGATTAAAGCAATTTAGCGTGAAATGTTATGATCAAAAATTACTTAATCTGCAACAAAGCACACTTGAATAATCATATTTTGTAATCACCCTTTTTCCAATATTTAAACAAACTTTTAGTTAAAAAAATGCAATCTAAAATAGTTAAATGGATGTGATATATCAAGCGTTATATAACCACTGACTGCAGTTCGGATGAAACGAAAGATGAGTTTTACCAAAAGCTGTCTGGTTTGCTGCGAAAGGCCGGACGCTCAGATATAGTCGTCCTAGCTGGTGACTTTAACGCTCAAGTAGGGAAATTGTGTCAATCTGAGAAGGATGTCGGTGGCACCTATGGAGTTCCGTACCAGCGAACCAACAACGGTGACCGTCTCCTACAGTTCTGTTCAGATAATCATTTGTTTCTTGTAATCACTAACTTCAAACACAAGGAGAGACACTGTTTGTCCTGGCGACCCCCTTCATCTAACCAACGCTGGACACAAATAGTTCACATAGCAATAAGCTATCGTTGGCGTGGGTCGGTAGGAGATTGTCGCTCCTTCTGGAACACGTGTGTAGATACCGATCACGCACTGGTCCGGGCTCGCATGTGCTTACGACTGAACGGACGTAGGAAACAGCTGGCGGTAAACCCATCACGTCCCCAGCTCGATCAGGAAACTAAACCCCTATTTGAGGAAGAACTAGCTAAACGCATATCTGAGTTCGACAGCTGTGCTCACCCTGAAGAAGCTTGGAAGAATATTCAGTCAGCCATAGATACAGCTGTAAAAGCTGTGAATAAGGTAAACCCAAAGGTGAGTAAAAACCATTGGATATCGACTGCCTCATCCGAACTGATAGATGCTAGAAGACTTTTTTCGGCAAGCTCCGAATTCAATGAGGAGCGAAAGCTGCACAAAAGGAAACTTATGAAAAGTCTCCGCAAGGACCGTGAACAGTGGTGGGTGACAAAGGCAAAAGAGATGGAAAAAGCATCGGCGATAGGCGACACTAGGCAACTCTTTAGACTAGTCAGGGAAACGGGAGGGAGAAGGCAAATCATAAGCGAGAATATTTCTGAGAAAAATGGTTCCTTAATTAGCTCTCAGGATAGACGCCTTGAACGCTGGAAAGAACACTTTGAGGGACAATTTAACTTGCCTATAGCCACACTGAACCTCCCCGACATCCAGAACACACCCGAATGGGATAAAGACACTGGTCTGCCGTCTGTAAGTGAGGTCACAAAAGCTATCAGTAATTTGATACGAGGCAAAGCGGCAGGACCCGACGGAATTATTCCGGAGGTGTTTAAATATGGGGGTGACATACTAGTTTGTAGATTAACTGAGGTACTAGTCAAAGTCTGGGAATCAGAGACAGTTCCATCAGACTGGGGTAAATCACTTATTATACCGATATTCAAGAAGGGAAACAAGTCCTCGTGTGATAATCACAGGGGGATCAGCCTAACGAACATAGTCTCTAAAATCCTAGGCTCAGTAATCATGAATAGACTAAGCAGAACTCGAGAGGAACAGACGAGGGAAAATTAAGCAGGCTTTAGACCAGGTAGAGGGTGCATAGATCATATCTTCACTCTTCGACAGATTCTAGAACATAGACACACTTTTCGGCGTCCAACAATTGTCATATTTCTTGACTTGAAGGCGGCCTTCGACTCCGTGGATCGAAAGGTACTATGGCAATGTCTGACTGTGAAGGGAGTGCCAAGAAAGTACATTGCACTAATCAAGGCACTCTATTCAAACTCACGTAGTCGTGTAAGGGCTTATGGGGAATTGTCATCTGAATTGGTAACAACCAGTGGTGTCCGACAGGGATGTCCACTCTCCCAATTTCTGTTTAACTTCATCATAGATATGCTGATGGAAGTATCCTTAACTGAACGTAATGACTTAGGAATCGACCTGTTACCAGGGAATAGTCTTATGGACTTAGAATATGCAGATGACATAGTCCTGTTAGGGGAGGATGCTGACAAAATGCAGAGTCTTCTGAACACCTTGAGCAGCAATCTTCGTATGTTTGGCATGCAATTCGCCCCTGCAAAATGTAAGATACTGCTACAGGACTGGACTACGTCAACTCCTAGCTTAGTGATAGGGAGTGAAGTGATAGAACATGTTGACCACTTCACCTATTTGAGAAGTTGTATTAGCACCAACGGACTGATTGGCGATGAAATCTCAGCACGGATCCGAAAAGCTCGAGCTGCTTTCGCTGACTTACACCACCTCTGGCGTAGGCGTGACATCCGGTTATCAACCAAGGGACGTGTGCACTACTCAGCAGTTCGCTCCTGCCTTCTCTATGGCTCTGAAACATGGCCAATACGCGTTGAAGACATGAAAAGGTTGACTGCTTTCTATCATAGATGTCTGCGGTCTCTGTCTCACGTTAGGTGGTTTAACAAGGTAAGTAATATACAATTGGTGGATGGTGGCTAGCAGTGGAATCCAGGATGCGCATTTCGTCCTATTTGGGACTCGTCAGCTGAATGTACCTGCATTTCTCAGTGAGTGATGATGTTCCCACTGAGGCTCGAACCCAGTACCCATAGTTTCAAACGAAATGCGCATCCTGGATTCCACTGCTAGCCACCATCCACCAATTGTATACTAACTGAATGCCCAGACATCGTCGAAGCATCTGCACAAGAAGCCGACATGTCAACCTGAGACCGAGCACTTCGGTCCAATCAATCGACGGGAAAATCAAAAATTCAATTCAATAAGGTAAGTAATGTTGACGTTAGGCGTAGAGTGTTGGGCAAAGAGGGAAAATCAATCGACGAGGCTATAAAGTTACATAGACTAAGATGGCTAGGTCACGTGCTGCGCATGCCTAACCACCGCCTCCCCCGACGGGCATTACTAGCTGATATAGGTGCAGGTTGGAAAAGAGCCAGTGGTGGCCAAACAAAAACATGGCCTCATCAATCCATGAAATCCTTGACAGTTAAACTGAGTCAGGTAGGGAGATGCAGACTTCCGGGTTGGGGTCCTCGGGACTCTAGGAATCAATGGCTGGAGACAATAGGTGAAGTGGTTCAAAATCGTTGTCAATGGCGCAGATATATTCAGTCTCTGTAATCTTTCATATTCCTTTCTACCATTACCCATCCTGTTTCACTCTTATACTTGTCAGACTGTATTGATTCTCTTCACTCATCTTCTTGTCTACCTTTGTGTGGTATTTGGAACGTGGCAACTCGAACTGCTGCACTTCGGTACCAAGTTCTATGTTAAATCCAGACAGACAGACAGACAGATATAACCAATAATATAATACTACAATTCTATTGAATTACAGCTTTCGAAAGTATTACTGTGGAGTGTGCTACTGACAAGGTTTATAAGTAGTCTACAGATGCAGATACAAATGTGTATATCATATGCAATAATATTGAATAGCGGAGAGATGGATTTAATGAATGGCATTTGTGAAACAACATGGAAAACATGAAAGGAAGACACAGTTAGCACAATACCGAAGCTACACCAAAATTGTGATTCTAATACATGATAGACGTATTTCGCGTATATCTGTACATCCAGTTGCTAGTAAATAATTCCGTTACCAAATTCTTTTGTCTTCTGTTACTTTTCACCTGTAGTAACTATGTGCATAACATGTACAGTGAAGTGCGTTGGAGTTTTTGAATACAAAAGTGATAATTCCGATGTAAGACCAACTTGGTAAGTATCATGTTTACGTAGCGAGCATCGCTTCAACAGTAATGGTATGACCGCAGTATGGTAAATCTATTTCTGTGAGTTGATATGTTAAACAATTTGCAGACATTAAGGTGTAACTTTTACAAAAATCAAATACAGTTTTGTGTATCAACGTGTTCATAAGTTAACAATACTATGTAGCAATGCAAATAGACATATACCTACTTTATTTTCAAATGCAAAGTATAACGTTTATATATAATACGAAACAGAACAGGAAGTGGTTTTTTTACGAAAAATTGTGTTTTAAAACAATGAACCGATACAACAGCTGTTACGGCACAACTACTAATAGCGACTTTCAGACATCCGAATTTATATGTATTTCCCAATATTAATTTAGATGCCACCCGAGGTTTTGTAACAGAGTTTATATTTTATTATACAACACACCTTAGTCAGCAACTAAAGAGAACAATAAATTGATGATTTTTGTGAAAGATGGGACTATCCCACTGACGTACTTTATTCAAGTGGTACAGTACAACTAAACCAGCAGAAAGTATTACTGTAGTAACTTTCGATAAAGTAACAAAGATACTCAGCCGTTAGTAGGCAATCACCGGGAAGCCTTGGACCTAGGTTTCGTACTTATTGACACTCGTCGGAAAGGCGTATATACAATCTTGAAGGAATTCGCGTCCTTTCTGTGGTCCGAATCCTGGTCAACCAGTGCCACAGTCAAAGACAGATCAAACTATCAGCTTAAAATGGTTTCATTTCACATACTGCCTACTACTAATTTGGTCCTTCTTGTTTTATCAAAACTATCAAGGTTATCACGAGTATAAAGTGGTAACTGTTGCTGAAACTGCTTTGTGAAGACTTTCAATGGCAGAAAGAATATTATGATTGAAAGTTGAACGTGTTGCTGTAAAATTGGAATTAGTATTCCTGCATTCATGGACTCGAAGATGCTTTTACGGAGATAAAACGCTCATATGCTGCTTGGGGGTGTCGATTTCCATTCAATCGTCTGGGGTTTTACACATTCACTCTGTGATTTATAGCTACTTTTTCATTACAGTTACAGTCTACAGCTATCGATGACGGCCCGAATGAAGCTGGATCAGACAAGGTGGTAAACAGATAGTCAAAGAGATTAACTGTAATAGCCTTAGTATCTAAGCAGATCATAATGAACCACAACTTATTTTTTTTAAATATCCTGTTGAATTACATAAATTTACTATATATCTACTGCTTTTTTACTACTCAGCAGCATAAGCTATCTATGTAAGCATAATTATCTGCATACATATGACTGATAGTCATCAAGTGTATCTGGTTTTTGATGACTTCACAAATTGAATATGTGAGACTAATAACATATGAAAATGACGGTAACATGTTAACACCAACAACAGGTGAGCTTTCTGCCTACAGCAGTCGTCATAAAAAAAATGTTCTTAATAAATAATTTAGACGAGGCAGTACAATAAGATATTGCACAATTAATTAAGCATTCAAACTAATTGAGAAAAATGATAAACCATTTACAGCCTTAAAAGCATCAGGTGAAACAGTTGGATCTATTTATCAAATTTCAGCTCACTGAAGACATTAGTAGCATATATATATATATATATATATATATATATATATATATATATATATATATATATATATATATCAGAGAACATATAATTAATCTAATTTACAAATATATCGTATATATACATACATATATATTGTGAAAATGGCTCCTAGTGTGATTTTAAGCTACTTATGTGTTACAATTTATTGACAGTCAACTACTGTTACAACTATGTTGATAGCATATAGAAAGAATTCATATATGCCATCACACTAGAAAAGGAAATTGTTTAAAACTGAAGATAACCAGGTTATAATGTAGTGTATTTAAATGTATATTACAACAGTGAAATTCTGAGTACCAGATTAAACTTTGCTTATTTAAAAAGTAGATTGTTTCATTGAGTGACAATAATTAAAGAATCGTTAAAAAAACAGAGAGACCGCGACCTATCTAGTAGTACTGCATAATATTTCAATTTTTCAAGCTAAGGGGTACTATAAATATATATATATATGTTTCCACCTAATGTCAGACTCTTCAGTATTACATGTCCATAACATCAGCAGGAGAGTCCATATCCTCGGATTAGCACAGTGCCAGTCATTAACGGGGTTGGAATTCAGCAACTTGTATTTTTCGGCAAATACATTTTTACAGCATAGCTCTGTTGTTCGACAGTATCTTTGATGAATCTTCACAATTTTTATTTATATCTTCTTTCTGTCTGTCTTTTTAGTCATACACTTTTGAATGTACAACTTGAAACCGTGGGTTTGTGGTAGGTTCCATTATGTTTTCAATTTTTTAAAATGCAGATGTGCTTACGAACGCGTCTCTAAAAACCACTGAACTAGAATAAATGAATATGGATCCACTAAATGCCGCATACATCTCTAAAATTGCATGTGCTGACCAGTTTCAATAAAAAATCAGACATTATTGTTAATAAAAAAACTAGATTGCCTGGAGAGGTTGTGTAAAGACGACCTATAAACATCATAACATTTCAGAAACCTTCCATGCGTTCAGTATTGTTTTTACAGCTAACGGCAATAAAATATATGAATAATTACATTTTTACCATGAAGTCCACATATTTTTCCCAGACATACTTACCGATCTAATCGAGCATTAACTATGGCTGTTTGGTGCTCATTTAATATACTATTCAACTGACCAACCAATTCTGAAGATTCTAGAGCACCTTCTATGCGTCCTAATAAGGCCATTCGGGTGGTACTTCCTGAATAAATCCCATTTTCTGAAACTACGTGGAAATATTTATAAAAAAAATCGAAATAGTATGAATATAAGTATTCACTAGGCAGTGCACAACATAGCAGTAATCTGAACTATAAGCTGAATTATTATAAAAAGTACTTTAATTTTAAGAGTAATACACAATACACATATGAAATACTAATGACCTAAAAATTCTCACAACATACTTCAGTAACAAAGTTATGAATTGGGTAGGAGAATGTAGGAAAGTTTCTGTATTTTGAATAAAGTAAGAACGAAAATATCTGCAGAATAATACGAGCTCGTTTTATTTCGTAGATTCTTTTCAACTGTGTACATCTTGAGCAAAAAATTAAGTTGCCAGTTGCAAAATTTCTGAGTATACTTTTTACAATAACTTCGAGTTATACATAGAAAGTATAGGCAACATAATTTCAAAGATGATGTGAGGAGACAAATTATTCAGTGTTAATAGGGTAACTATTTATATAATAATTAGAATTCTATTCCCCTTGCCTAATTACTATATAAATAGTTACTCTATTAACACTGAATAATTTGTCTCCTCACATCATCTTTGAAATTATGTTGTCTATACTTTCTATGTATAACTCGAAGTTATTGTAAAAAGTATACTCAGAAATTTTGCAACTGGCAACTTAATTTTTTGCTCAAGATGTACACAGTTGAAAAGAATCTACGAAATAAAACGAGCTCGTATTATTCTGCAAATATGTTCGTTTTTTCTTTATACGAACTATTAAAGGGAACCAGCTGTATGAAAATCTCTATATATTTTATTTAAGTGCCTGTTGGAAACTTGGTGACTACTAATTGAAGGTCATGTGAGCATTTACATAAAATGTACTGTCAGTAGTTTATGTTGTCCTTTGAGAGTGGATATTGCATTCGAACTTATACAGATCATACAACATTGGTTTTTCGAGTTTATCAATGCACTGAAAGCCTTGTGAAGGAACACCACAAATAGGGTTGTCGCAACCAGGAATATGGTTAGACAGGGTTGCTAAATCTTACTATTATATTTTTTAACATTATCACCAACGGTATTCTGGAGTTGGCTCTGAAAGTATGGGTGGGGTGATGACTTAGATTTGCTAGCCTCAGAAAGACTGTTACATAGTGAATGTACAGACATCATCTCACCGAACAACAACATAGACAATTCAACTCGTACTTAATCGGTCGGAGATCAGTGTTTGTAAGAACTCAACATCTCCTGCAGTGAAATAACTAAAGGTCTGAGTTAACTTAAGAACACAAGTAGTAGCCCAATTTGATGAAAGACGAACCGATACGAATGACTTATGCATAAGTTTTAAATAAATCTGTGCAATTTAATTATAAATCAGAAGGGTATATATCAAGCATATTTGATAAATCACAGAACCATGTATCTGATGTTTTTTGGATTTTGACTGTGAAGTAATAATACATGGAAACTGTAAGGGAGAGTAAACAAAGCTGTGAAAACTACAACAGATGAGATTTTCATTATATAACATTTTTCAACATAAATCTACTTATAAATATAAATTTAACCCGTCACAAATACTCAAAACGTGATCAAGTATCGCAAGTGAATATTATATCTTACTTGGTATATTTGTCAGGCCAATGACTCCCATAAATGGATACGTGTGCTCTCGAAGAGTCCGTGATACACGATATCCTTCTGGTGATTCAATATTACAACCCCAAAATAACAGCTCATCTGAATTCCGAAGAAATCGCAAAACTTCTTCACATTGTAGGGTTTCCCTGAAAAAGTACAATGAAGTGGTTAAAATCTAGTATCATTATTCAAGTGACGGGAACAGTAATAAGCAAGACGAAAGGAAATAATATACTACTACTACTACTGATAATAATAATAATATGACCCATTACAGATTGTCATCACTGTGATAGACAAAACCTTTAGATTAATAATAATTAGTGTGGATGATCTTCAAATGGTCAATAGGCGGAATGGGGTGTTTATTTGGCCTCCAGATTCATTATACCACTGAAACACTTCGTTGAAAATGATATGTAAGTTTACTGTGAATTCCATTTGATGACAAAGCTTCATGCTTAGACGGATAAGTAAGCAATTAATGGGTTTATTATAGAAGTTTATGTAACATTACCTTGTGGATGAAGTTTTAAATGCACATGGAATGAAATGACTTGGTTATATTTTGTGAGCTTTGACTTCTAACATCACATGCGATTCATATGACTAATTTAAAGTGAACCACAAAAAGTCAGCAATAGTCCACAAATTCGCTCCTCGTTGGCTTATCGTGTGTGGTTGTGTTATCAGAAACATTTACAGCAAAAAAATTGTAAGAATAAATGGATTCAGATGTCACTTATCTCCAAGTAGGCAATAGTTTGATATTGAAGAGTTTAGTAGTTACGAGTCAAGACCTTAAAGAGTTGGAAAAACTTAATACATTTTTTGAGGTTATTGTGCCTACATTTGGATGCTTTCAGATCGTTTCTGCTGAATGCTGACTGATAGTTACATAGAAACACACTCAATATAGTAGCATGTTTTGCATGATAACACTTCATACATGACCAAAAGAATACGACAAGCATTTAGGACAATGCCGTTAAACTGATAACCAGTAAGTGAAGAATTTGTTTAAATTATTTATCCCCAGAAAGTCAACTGTAACTTGAATACCTTGATAGCAAATTGCACTGATTGCTTACCAGATGTTAACACCCACCCATATCTTATAGGTAATGTTTTTTTGCATTTTAGATATATTCTCCCAATAAGTGCTCAAACACACAAAACTTGGTAACAGTAGGGCTTTCTGTGAATCAACTTACTGACTAACTAAGTAACCAATTAATTTTATATCATATGCTTACCTAGTATTATTAATAAAAGAAACTAAACAAATTATGAAGAAAATTACTTGCAAAATCGATGAGTATCTTCATGTGAATCTGCATGCAGGTAAACAATCAGAAATCGTAAACTTTGTTTGGCCTCTTGAACAGCATCCGCATAAGTCCCCTCAAAGAAGGGTGGATACGAATTCACAGTGGGATCGTCAGCTGAAGTCAAATTACTACCAGTATTGGCATGTCCATAAGTTGTCTTGAAATGTTGAATGAATTTCCTTACATCGCCTATTGGATCAGTGACTTCTATACGAATAATAAACGGAATGTATATTACAATAATGAACAGGAATAACACGATATGACATTTATACTGCTGGTGAACTGATAAGTCAAAGTGTAAAGGAATTAAGCAAAAATTTCAAGCTAAATAACAATTATATACAAAGCAATGCACCTAAAAGTACTGAGGAGTCTAAACTATGTGTATCTGACCCGACGATAGTGAGTTAATGGTTACACAAAATACACTGTTAACCTATCGTTGATATTACTATGGTGTTATTTTACTTGAATTACAGTGAAGTATACTTGATTAGCCACTAAGTAGCGACACATTCATAAATTCTGAGCAGTTATGAAAGACAGTTACATAGTAAACTACACTACATTCATATAGTTACTCATAAAGCCGAATCCTGTTCATCTCATCAAAATTCATGTCTTCAATGTGTTAAAAGTGGTGGGCTCTCACGAAGAAAAGAAGAAACAGAGGATACTGTTCGTCTACAAACGGGATAGCTTATCGCTTATATCCACACGTATATAAAACTCTTATTTTACCAGCTTTCATGAAACTCATTACATAGGGCATGAAGTAGTGCCGTAACACACTGCAAAACCACATGGTTAGATTGAATAAATATACACACAGAACATTTTTCTTTAGTGAACACTATATGAAATCGCTCCTTCAAGCCTATTGTTATTAGATGACGGAGATTATCTGAAAAATGTGATGTATTTGCGCAATACATTTCGAACAATCTGATCATGCATTTACTTGTCAAGTCAATTTATATTAAAGTGACAGAGAATTTAAGAATAATAAGGATAATTAACACAAAATTTGATTATCCAATCAGATAAGGATTACCAAGGTAGGTTAAAAGTATTAATAAATTGTTTTCGAACACACAGAGTGGGGGAGGTGGCTTAAGTTTTTGAATAGCTATAGCCTCAGCGTATTCCAATAAGCACCCTCCACCATCTTTATAGATGACCTTAAAGCTGTGTTAACACCAATCTTATGGTTATTATCGACTAGATGTTTGGTTGTAGGCGAAGTTGATAGTCTGCCACCTGTGTGTATTGATTTTCCAAACTTCATCGGTCTTCCTAACCATTTCGGAATATGCTCTCCCACCCTCACATGTAGAGTGCAATTACACCTCCCTATATGTGTCCACACACACTTAAATTGGTAAATAGTGTGAGATGTAACGTAATCATTTGTGCACTTTTGAGGTTTGTAGTGGAGCATATTTTTGGCTTTTTCAACGACTACAAGCCGGGTGCATAATAGGTCCTGCGGGTGACTGAGTTTGATCTCCGTCTCAAAATCCTACTATATATTTCCCCATTGTATAGTAATTTGATGAAGACAACTTTCTTAGGGGCGGAAAGCATTGTAGGTTTAAAGACTAATTGACTTCTACTTCTGTCAAAAAAAAGTTAAAAGATATCCGTTTTCAACAAGAGTATCGATCATTACCTTATTTCCCTACTCTATAACATCAGCCATACACATAGGCTGAATCCTCATGAATAAGCATTTCACTAAGCCTCTCTTATACTGTAGCAGACAGAAGCTGTGAAAATTTAAGTGTTGCCCTGTCCAAGTAGGCTTTCTGTAAATGGGTCCTCTTATTGAACTACTGGACAGGCTTAACTCCGTACAGATTCATATAAGTCTTACATGCGGGGAAGAAAGTCGCAACCACTTTGGATATTTAGATATACTTCTGAGTTGAAGAGACGATGGTTTAAGTGATTATGTTACATCTCACACTATTTACCAATTTAAGTGTGTGTGGACACATATAGGGAGGTGTAATTGCACTCTACATGTGAGGGTGGGAGAGCATATTCCGAAATGGTTAGGAAGACCGATGAAGTTTGGAAAATCAATACACACAGGTGGCAGACTATCAACTTCGCCTACAACCAAACATCTAGTCGATAATAACCATAAGATTGGTGTTAACACAGCATTAAGGTCATCGGTGGCACAGTGGTTAGGACTCTCGTCGACCATGCACATGGTCCGAGGTTCGATCCCCTGCCGACGCATACCTGATATCTATGGTCGGCCTTCAAAATTTGGGCTACCGATATCCATGCTGAAAATTCCATACTTGTACCAAAAAGTACTGTGTGGAATCAAGCTGTAATCAAAAAATTAAATTAAAATTAAATGGTGGAGGGTGCTTATTGGAATACGCTGAGGCTATAGCTATTCAAAAACTTAAGCCACCTCCCCCACTCTGTGTGTTCGAAAACAATTTATTAATACTTTTAACCTACCTTGGTAATCCTTATCTGATTGGATAATCAAATTTTGTGTTAATTATCCTTATTATTCTTAAATTCTCTGTCACTTTAATATAAATTGACTTGACAAGTAAATGCATGATCAGATTGTTCGAAATGTATTGCGCAAATACATCACATTTTTCAGATAATCTATGTCTTCGAATAACATCCTAATTTACAAAAGGGACTATTTATTTTAACTATTTTTATTCATTTGAAATAATAATTTGCAAGGCTTAACTGAGCAAGAAAGCGTCGGTGGTACAGCGGTTAGGACGCTCGCCGACCATGCGCATGGTCCGGGGTTCAATCCCCGGCCAACGCACTCCTTTACCTCGCTAAGCCAGAAATAATGCTGGTAAAGAAGAAAGGTTGGGCATGAGGCTAGCAACCCCATGCTGTAAAATTAAACGCTGCTACAGAATCTTTAAGCCACTAGCTTGAGGCCCTATGTTCCAGTGGGAATGTGAAGGAAAAAAACTGAGCAACACGAAGAATTTCTATGAAGCACTAATATTACACACATGAAAACTACAACTAAGTAAATGAAGGCTTTTTGGGACGTTTTTGTTTACCTCTACCTTAACAAACTCTGTTAAACTGATTTTATCCCACTTTGCTTGATATTTTTTCATAGTTACTTATAAGGTTCCATACTTTCTGAAAGCATTTGACCCAGTTTACACGTGTTAAAATCACTTTCACCAGTGAACAGCATATCTTGTGTTTCGTCAAATTCAACATGCACTCATCCTCACTTTGTATCGTATATGTGTTGACTAAGACATTTTACTATGATTAACTGCAATGATCAGAAATATAAAGGCAACGGCACACGCAGACAATGGAATTGTTATGAAGACATTTATTTGTCGAGTGAATTTCTTCTTCTACCCAGAAATAAACAAAAAAGCAAACATCCCCTACGTTGGTTTCGTCTTAGATGTGTTAGGTTAACAACCCGATCCAGAGAATGCATGTATGATACACCACAAGACCAACGATTGTATGTACATGTTGCTTCTCTTTAAAGTTAATAAACCATTATTCGGTATTCATCCCAAAGGAACACGAAATTGGATATAAAATAGACCATCTACTAGCGAAGAGTTTCTACGACACTGCATTTACAAGACTCATATCATAACAAAAAGGATACAAGAAGGGACAAGACGACACATTATAATAGGTAGCAGTAATCACAGATAACATTCACACCTACAACACAGATGCCTGGGCAAGCGGTAGTAAATAAACCTAGAGTTTCGAAAATTTATATATATATATATATATATATATATATATATATATATATATATATATACCGAATGAAATATTGCTATACAATAGGACGTTAAACTGAAATGTAAAGATGTATAAAAAACTATAGATTTACAAGTTTAGATACAATTAACACTGGGAAACTTACGACTTCGTGGGTCAGACCAAAGGAAAGAGGCTTGATAAAAGAAGAAAGAGAAAGGTGAACAAGTATGAGGCATATACGGTTCCACAAATCGTCTTGTAATTAAAATATGAAAAATATCTTGCTACAAGTTGGACAATGGAAATTAATGAATTTTTCGAGTATTATAAACACCAGGCAGTGTACAGAAAACATTTTCCTGAATCACGATAGACACAACACTTCATTTCAGATAATAGCAGGTGTATGTACGCAGAACTTATATGATGGTAGACAAGATAACCTACAACTAACTTAATCTCTTTCTAGTTTATGAGAACCAGTTTAAACCAAATGGTCTAGATCGTCATTAATAGTGATTTACAAGAGAATGAGATTTCTTATAATGATCATCGAAAAACTAGCCTAAACGATAGTGCTTAAAAACCTAACATCTATTGTCATTGGAAGAAAAAGTGGAGCTCGTGAAACACAAGTGTAAGAAAACTAGGCTGATTAGCAGATACACGGCGAAGTGATTATATTTACTAACTGCTTCACTTCTTTGTGAATTTGCACCTACCCTAGTGGTAGGTGACAAAATCTCAGAAACAACAGCACAGGCCAACGAAGCATCCGTCAACAAATACAATATCTAGCTATATATCAGTGGCTGAGTAGTAGTGCGTTGCTTTATTTCATGACTAAAACGATGTTGCAACTGAAGATGAAGGTCTACGTCGTCTGAATTATCTGCAAGATGTGACAGACATTTCCTCCCTGACCGTAAGTGTTAACTGAAGTAAAACTAGTTCAATGACATGAAAACCGAAGGTAGGTTTTCACAGCAGATGAAGTTTAAGTAACGAACAAGGTAGAAGATGCACACAAAGGAAGGAGTTATACAACATTATACAAATAAAGTAAAATAAACGTTTCCGACGACCCCTCCTTAAATAACACCATGCGTAACCTCAGTTATACACACCATATGCCACTAGACATGGCAGATAGAACCGAAACATTTGTAGTCAAAGACTGTCGGCCTTTTTAAATCTTTCACTGTCAATGGTCATGTCTCACAGCCATAAAGGAAAACAGAGAGAACTGCTGCACTGTATAAACATTCTTCGATGGATAGCCCGATATCCTGTGTACGCCAAAGATGACTAGTTGGCAAATACCACACAAACCATTCGTATTCATGCAGAGATGTCGTCAGCGATCAGTTAGGTACATCCCGACTTACCCGTAACAGACGGTAAGTTTACTAATACGGAACCAATCCCAGAAGCCAGTTCATACAGGCCGTATGTGACCCGCCTCAAGCAGTTGTCCCCTGAGCTCTGCGGTCACGCAACACTAACCCTCCTTCTGTTTCCGGCACCCGAAGAATCAGCCGACTTCCACTGTGTGGGCAGCCGGGAAGTATCAACCGCCCACACACTTCCAAAAGCACATGGAGCCTCCCCGAGCATCATTCTCATTTGCTCACATCACCTTCATCATCTTACTTTCCTACTACAGCCGGTACTATTCCTCAGGCTACTGAGTCATCTTCACTTCACTATGTGACCACAAACAACGATGAGAGCCATAGAAACACACCCCTGACAGCCTGTTAAAGCCACGTCGTCAAATTCATACAGGTGGACTCAACATCAGGACCCTCTGTCAAATCGCACGAACTCCGGAATCTCAAGCCACAGGTGTATGTTGTGTTTCGGAGACACGCATACATGACCCAAGTGTGGCCGTTCACTTAACCTCACCCAGCCAACAAGGTGAATCTGCAAAATTCATTTTAAGGGTATCAGAAGACCCCTCAGCTAGTTCGCGAGGACTCGCAAGTTCAGGGATAGCTTTGAGTGTTAGAGCAGAAAAATCACTTCTTGGCTGGATCCCAGTAGATAGTTGTATGTGTGCGGTCCGTCTTAACGAGTCCGTTAGAAGAAGGAAGGACGGTGTTACTCGTCGTTGTCTTTTCGTAGTCTCCGCCTACGCCCCAACAGACTGCAGTTCGGATGAACTATAGGATGACTTCTACCTGAAACTGTCTAATTTGCTGAAAAAAGCGAAAGGTTCAGATATAGTTGCTTTAGCAGGCGACTTCAATGCCCAAGTCGGGAAGTTGTGCCAGACTGAGAAGTATATGGAGATTCCTGCCGACGAACCGACAACGGTGATCGTCTTCTACAGTTCTGTTCATATAATCATCTCTCCTTAGTCAGCACTAACTTTAGATACAAAGAGAGACATTGCGTAGCCTGGCGACCTCCATCACCAAATCAACGCTGGACTCAGATAGACCACACAGCGATAGGGTATCGTTGGCGAGGGTCAGTAGAATATTGCCGCTTCTTTTGGAACACGTGCGTGGACTCCAATCACGCTCTAGTCTACGCACGTTTATGCTTACGACTAAACGGACATAAGAAATTACTGGCAGTAAAAGAGTTACGTCCCCAACTAGATCGAGACACTGAGTCCCTATTCAAGGAGGAAATTGCGAAACGAGTGTCTGAGGTCAACAGCAGGACTCCTCCTGAGGTGGCCTGGAGCAACATACAGTTAGCTGTAAACACAGCTGTAAAAGCTGCTAATAACCTAAAACCAAAAGTTAGTTAGAGCCATTGGATCTTTACCGCCTTATCTGAACTGACTGACGCAAGAAGACCGATTCTGGCGAGCTCCGATTATGATGAGAAGCGAAAGCTACTCAAACGCTAACTAAAAAGAAGCCTTCGTAACGACCGTGAGCAGTGGTGGGTGACAAAGGCGAAAGAGATGGAAAAGACATCGGCGATTGGTAACACCAGACAACTATTTAGTCCCAATAGGGAAACAGGTGGCGAAAGGCAAACGATAAGTGAAACTTAAATAAAGCGAGAACAACATTGATATGTGCAGAATAACATGATAAGTGAAACAATCTCTGAGAAAAGTGGCACCATAATTAGCCCCCAGAACAGACGACTGGAACGCTGGAAAGAACACTTTGAGGAGCAGTTCAATTAGCCTACAGCCACTCTCAACCTACAGAACATCTAATACCTCCCTGAATGGGATATGGACACAGGTCTTCCTTCTATAACTTGGGTTACTAAGGCTGTCACTAGTCTGAAACGAGGTAAAGCAGCAGGACCTGATGAAATGACTCCAAAGGTATTTAAGTACGGTGGAGACAGTTTACTGTCTGCGTCAATTAAGGTATTAGACAACGTCTGGTAATCAGAGGGAGTCCCGTAGGGTTGATGTACGTCATTGATTATCCCGATATACAAGAAGGGAGACAAGTCTTCCTGTGATGATCACAAGGGGATTAGCTTGACTAATATGGTATCTAATGTTCTAGGCTCAATAATCATGCGTAGACTAAGGGGTCCATAGGTGGAACAAACACGACAGAACCAGGCAGGCTTTAGATCAAAAAGAAGGTGTATTGATCATGTCTTTACCCTTTAACAGATTCTAAAACATACACACTTGTTAGCAGGGAATAATCTCGTTGACTCAGAATATGCAAGCGGATGATATAGTCCTTCAAGGTGAAGACTCTGATAAAGTAGAGCAGTCTTCTGAACGCCTTGAGATGAGCAGCAATCTTCGAATGTTTGGCATGCGACTTGCTCCTGCTGTCAAATGGAAGATGAGGCTACAGGACTGGACTAAATTGACTCCTAGCTTAGAAATAGGGATGAGGTGACAGAGCACATTGACCATTTCACTTATTTGGGAAGTTACATCAGCCCGAACGGGTTGATCACTGGCAAAATCTCAGCACGGATACAGAAGGCTGGCTTTGCACTTGCCAGTTTACGCCGTCTCTGGCGTAGACGTGATATCCGGCTATCGTCTAAGGGACGTGTGTACTGCTCATCAGTCCGCTCCGTCCTCCTTTATGGCCAGTTGTGAGACCTGGTCATTGAGAGTGGAGGACATGAAAAGACTAGCTGTCTTTAATCATAGGTGTCTGTGTTCTATCTCCCGTGTGAAGTGGTATAATAGGGTTAGAAATATTGAAGTTAGGCGTCGAGTTCTAGGTAAACAGGGGAAATCAATCGACGAAGTCGTGAGGTTACAAAGACTGAGATGGTTAGGACATGTGTCACGTATGCCAAGCCATCGCCTCCCTCGACGAGCAATTTTAGCGGATATAGGGTCAGGCTGGAAAAAAGCTAGCGGCGGTCAAACAAAAACTTGGCACCAGTCAATGAAATCCACAACAGTTGGTCTAAGCCATGTAGGAAGGTGTAGACTTCCTGGTTGGGGTTCTCGGAACGGTAAAAGCCAATGGTTGGAAACAATTGGTGATATGGCTCAAAATCCTTCTCAATGGCGCAGATGCATTCACTCCTAGTGACTTATTATTTCCAATGAAACTATTGTTCTTCGTTATTACTATTACTTTTGTCTCATATCCCTGTTTACTGTCTCTACTATACATTTCTTCTGTTGCTTTGTGTGCTACATGGAGTGTGGCGACTTGAACTGCTGCAAATGGGTGCAAAGTTCTTTGTTGTAAACATACAGACACTATTTAACTTAAATAACTTCTGAAGATTGACTATCAGTTTACATTTTACAAAGATTAACTGCCTAAATAGCACTGCCCCAAGGAGGAAGGCGGCGCAATGTTTAGAGATGCCTTATAAATATACAGAATCGACACATTTGACTATCATTTGCAAATGAGAGGACCGAGATTCACAGAAGTACCACGAACGTGAAGCCATATCAGAATGATGTATAGGTCTGCTTGTGGAAATCAACGGATAGACTGACCAAGGTAATGTGAAAGCCTATATTTTCATATGAACCAATGTCGCATTTCTAGATAGTAATCACAGAAATCAGAGAGCAACAGGGAGGAATAGACATGTGTACGGTCTAATAGTGCTATTAGCTTGGATAATAAACAACAGAACACACTATTCTTTCATTAATAAGATAATTATGAAAGGTGATGAAGTTTTCATTTTTCGGATTGAAAACCAACCTAATAAAGTACAACGCCGAGGCTATAAATATTATTATTGCTAGTGCTCCTCTGGTACGGTCAGTTGACACAACGGAGACAGTTTTACACTACTCCAATCCTTGGATTTAGCTTCTTGCCAGTGACAAAATATATCTCAGTTGTTTAACAGTATTCGTAGGTGCAGTTAATGAGTTAATCATAGTGCTATTCGACGTTTCAGATATGAGACCACAGAGATTGTTAACCCACCACAGTTAGTTCTCTACTTAGAGGAAACAACAAAGGACTAACAAAAAGCCAACAAGACTTTTTAGTATCGTTATTAAGCTAACGAGGGAGATACAAGATAAGTTGTTTGATTATAAGGAAGTAATAATTTGCTCATACTGTCTCCCGCCCAAATACTCAAATGTAGCCGTGTTTCTGGTAGAAGAAGATGTGGTACTTACTGATTAGATTGAAGCATTAACAAGATTCCCCACGTGGGGTTCTTGCATATCGTGACAAATTTTAAGATGGGCGCGACTGTTGAGGCATGGTTTAGTGACTAATATATGATTTCGCTCACTAGCTTTGGGACTTCACTTTGAATCACCCATCATTTACCTTAACCTGAAAGGCTGATATAAGTAATGGTTTTCTCGAGGCACTATTGTTGACTTTTTCATTCTTGTTTACTTCAGTGAGTGATGTGACTTACTGGATTAAGCATTTGACTTTCAGCCACTAAAACCTTGGTTTGAATCTCACTCGACCTATTTCAGTTGGCGTAACTGGTTGGCATGACTAGCTAATGAGCAGCAAGTATGGCTCATAACCTGATATGTGAGAAATCTATTCTGGGCAAATGGGTTGCTGCATAATTACGTCGGTGTACAGTTACAAATATTTTTGTAACCTTAATTATTTTTCAAGGACTTATGTGTTAATTTATAGTGGTGAAGACATGGCTGCACCGCAAACTGTAACAATCAACCGAACAGTATGTACGATGGGATTTCAAAGTCGATTCCAGTGAAGTAATTCGGTCATTCTCACTTCACAATGCATACATTCAGGAAGGCGATACACTAAAAAAGATTTATTGTACCTGTACCAAGCTATAAACAGAATTTGCCTACACTTTTTAGGAAAGAGACAGTGAACGCATTATTGGACAGAATGGATAATCTTGCAAAGACATATTGTAAATGAGTAAACATTTAGTTGAGAATCGATTACATAAATTTGTTTCCCCAAAGACTGACAAACCTCTAAGCAACTGCACTTACAACAGGCGGTTTTCATGTTAGAATTCAGTAGTTTAACACAAACTTTGCTTTTGCCATAGTTGTGCACAATGGAGATTCATAAATGAAGCCTAAGGGCTTAAAACTACACTACACAAAACATGTTTATGCTTTTGAAATTAAAATCTGTTTTTAAAAAATACATCTGTTTCTTTACCACGATGATCAATTCCTCATACATAACGAATAACAAATGACGTGAGAAACAAAACTCACCGAAAAACCTGAAAATTCCCGCAAATAAATTGTATCCTACCCGAAATGGCTCTAGTAGCAACAGAGCTGTAGACCATAGCCAACTATGAGCACTATCTCGTGCTCTTAATACTCGCTGATTGGGTGGAACTAATTCGACCTAGGGAATAACTTGGAATTAATGCTACATACGTGAGGGACAGAAGGCACTCGCGAGTTGTTGCTCCGATGTCTAGCACTCGACTCTTCAAATCCCATTAATTTATGAACAGCACGCTTGAAATTAAATATTAGGCTTTGGTACGCACCTCTAAATTCCAAGAACTTTCTTCCAAAAGCTTTAAAGCATCAACGTATCCTATTCCTCCTGCTATCTCCTGTAAATGTTGTACATCTTGTGCTTCCGACTCTGACAATACATGAGGCCCATCAGTGGTATCATCATCAGACATCTCAGCGAAATACTATAACGTACAAATTTATAAGACCCTCTCTGCGATAAACCAGTATCCAATATCCAATATCCTGATTACGAGCTAGTATAAACCAGTAATTTCTTTGAGCTCGCTTCTTGATTGTGAGGTAGAGGTTCCAGATCTTTGGTGAGCTTCTGCGTAGTAAGTGCCGCCACTCGACTGCTTTAGCTCTGGTAGACTCCAGGAGGAGTGGTGCGGGGATTGGTCGAGATGTGGTTTGTAGTATGCAGTATGTTAGGACTGTATTGCTGCCGTGAATAGAGTTTGACCTAAGTCCCGTTGGTCATTCGGTGCAGTCATAAAAGCAGAATAGTAATAATAATAGGTCGTAGTGTAGATAATATGGGTTGAGATAAGTGGAATAATAAAGGGGAGTACCGTGCAATGCTTCAAGATTTCCGTTGAGAGAGGTAAACCCACAATAATGAAAAATATTTAAATCTTTTCTACACACTTGTATAGATCTTATTATTTCTTGGAACTCGTTTCTGAGTCTGAATGGGGTTGCTAGCCCTACACTCAACTTTCCCTTTTTTCTGGGCTTACTATTGGCAAATAAATTAGTTAGTAATCAAAATTCGGCTCACTTGCGTCTTCGGCGAACATTTTACCCCTAAACTACCGTCAACAATATATATATATATATATATATATATATATATATAATGGCTAAGTAAAACAGAAAACATAGTCTCACCTGATTTTTTAGGAATGCTAACTGTCAAAGAAACTGTTAATGGATGCAGATTAATTGTTTTCTCCGTTGTGGATTCTTTATCCATCTCATCTAGATCTTCTCCCGTATGACGCTTCTTTTTCTGGTAAAAACAGTTGAGTAATAATAATAACAGTATTAACGGCGATTTAATTGGAAAGAAATTCTACGAGAAACCTAGCATTAAAGATTTACTCGTCTACTGAGTTTCAAAGTGAAAAATACTGGTATATTTAAAAATTCTCTCTAGGGGCATCAAACCTGGTCCAATTAACTGACTTGCTAGTTTTCTACCCGGTTCCAAGACCAGGTAAAGAAGGAAGGTTGGGCGTAGGGCTAGCAACCTCACACCACTAAATCTATCAAACCATTAGATAAACTTCAACGCGCAGAAAATATATCAAAAATACAAGAAACTCAAAGAACGTTTTTATTCTTCGCTCGAATCGGAGGCGAAATGATGCGACCTGTGAAAGCCTTCAAGAAGCCAGTCAGCCAGGCGATGTCTTCTCTCGATGAAAGCAGGAAAAAGGATGGGAACGTGGAATGTCCGTAAAATGCACGAGACTGGGAAGACTATCCAAGTAGCCAGCAAAATGTGAAAATATGGCTTAGAAGTACTGGGTATCTGCGAAAGCAGACGAAATGAACGTGGATTCACAACATTGTCAGCGGGACAGTCAATATTCAACTCCGTTTTGATCACCCAGACGACAACTACGAACACACTGAGAGACTGGCTATCATGATGTCACCAGTGGCAGCCAAAGCCCTAATGCAGTGGGAACCAATTTCATCCAGGATCATGACAGCAAGATTCAACTCTAAAGGAAGGAAGGTTACAATCATCCAATGCAACACACAGTTCTACAAGCAACCCGGAATAAGAAAAAGAGCAGGATTTTTACAGACAACTACAAACAGTAATGAACAACACCTCAAATGGCAACATCAAAATCTTCATCGGCGATATGAATGCCAAAATGGGAGTAGATAATACAGGAAGAGAACTCATCATGGGTCGAGAGGCTCTCGGAGAAATGAATGAGAATGGAGAATTATTCGCTGACTCCTGTGCTTTCAATGATTTGGTGATCGGAGGAAGCGTGTACAAGCAAAAGGTACACATTAAGCAACATGGGTTCGCCTGAAGGAAACACCACAAACCAAATAGATTTCATCGCAGTACCGCTCAAGAAAGTGGAGACGCAGCCAGTCTGCTGGACAAAAAGTCGAAATGGAAAGCAGATGTGGGCTCAGACCATCATCTAGTTCTAGGAACTTTCAAGGTGAAGCTCAAATCCTTCAGAACAACTGCAAACAGGCAACAACTCAAGTTAAACATTCAGAAACTGGAGGACAAAACTATATAAGCATTCCTTCACTACAGATCAGATAAGAGCAAAGTCGGAGACACTTCGTGGGATCACTGAGATAGAAAATGTGTAAGAACACTGAAACTCTCTGAAGGTGATGTTCAAGGAAACGTGTACAAATGTTCTAGGAAAAATGAAGACACAAGACAAGGAATGGCTATCAACGGATACCTGGACGCCAGTCGAAGAGAGGAGAATGGTGAAAGAAACGATGATTCAATGGAAAAATGGATGCTCGTGAGTTTTATGCAGATGCTTGGAATATCTGGATGAAAGCGTTACCAAATGCCTTCTTATAACCTACCCAACATAGATACCTCGATTAAGTTGTACTCTCATAAGGGGAATTACAAAAGCAAAAACCGCCATTCGTGGAAGTAGTGCGTCCCTAGATATGATACACAGGAGAAGTATTAGCTCAAAACACTTCTGAGGGTTTCTACAGCCAGGAAGTACACAGCAAATCAATAAACAGCTGGACTAGAATCCCCGTTTTTAAACTGCTTTCAGTTTTTCCTCCTAATGAGTTGCGCTTCTGAAGTAGTAAGCCGCTGCATAAACGAATAATGTACGAAATAAATACTCCAAAATTTGAGTGGATGCCGACTGATATCAGCGCTTTTTATGGTCGCGCATCTTAGATTCATGATTTATCGGTAACTAGTTTGTTTGCGGTAAGGAACTATTGAAGAAAGCTGAATATATCACCCTTCCGCTCGATTTTCTAATGTTGAGCATTATAAGCAGGTTTCCAAAAGGAGCACGAGCAATGAAACATTTCACCTCCACTTCAAAAAGTACGTTGAAGTACAAAGTATTTATAACCACATATTATCATGCCAGCAGGTCATTTATCACCTACGATGCAACGTATGTCGGTGGCACAGTGGTTAGGACTCTCGCCGACCATGCACATGGTCCGAGGTTCGATCCCCTGCCGACGCACACCTGATATCTATGGTCGGCCTTCAAAATTTGGGCTACCGATATCCATGCTGAAAATTCCATACTGTACCAAAAATACGGTGTGGAATCAATCTCTAATCAAAAAAAAAATTAAAAAAATAAATCAATATGTGGGTAAGCAATATATCAAACAACTGCATTATATTTCAGCATGATTTGCTATATATCATCAGTCTATCCTGTAAGTCTCGCGGAAGCGCTTACCCGATTCCACACCTGTAACCATTAGCTATGACGAAAGAAAAGATGATTCAATGGAAAGATGGACAACAGAAGGAGAAGCTGAGTTCAATGTAAACTGCACCAAATAAAGCAGTAAAGAAGAGTGCTAGGAAAGAAAAAAGACGATTCTAAAACACACTGACCGTCACCTGAAGCAGAACAAGCCGCAGGCGAAAGAGATCTCAGGACATTATATCAAACAACTCAGTCTTCATCCAGAAAAACATCAACCCAGATGATGAAACCAATAAAAGATGCTCAAGGGAACCTGATCACTAAGGAGGAGGAACAAATAAAACAATGAGCTGATCACTTTAAAGAACTCTCAAATCGACCACCATCGGCAACTCGCCCAGAAATACCACCAACAGCACGCACAGCACAAGTCTTTATCAACCTCATTCAACAGATATATGGCAGTGTCACGTGTCAGGTGATCCACAACAGAAAACTCGGCGAGGCGTTCTAATCGAACACAGGAGTAAGACGGGGTTGTCTATTATCACTGATGATATTACTAATTGTGGTGGACTGGATTATGCGTTAGACTATGGGGAGCGAGGAGACAGGAGTACGCTGGACCGGTCAGAAAACTCTCCGAGATCTGGACTTCACAAAGGATGAGTGATGTTTAATGTAGCAGAAGGTCGAAGACTTGGAGTCAGGCGAAAACCAACACACTGACTGAGGAAGCAGCTAAGATAGGACTCCAAGTGAACACAGAGAAGGAGGTGATGAAGATAACCAACGAACAGAAATAACAACAACAACCAGCACCAATCACTACCAACGGGAGAGATTTAACGGAGGAGGCATCGTCTTAACTATAGGCAGTCGTAACGGATGAAGATATCAAAGCCAGTCAGGATCGGACAGGCGAGATACGCCTTCATCAACCTGAAACCAGTTTGGAAATTTTCTGCACTCCGTAGTATAAAGAACAAGATTTGAATTTTCAACATAAATGTGAAGTCGGTCTTTCTATATAGGTCAGAAACTTGCACTGCGTGTCGCGAAAAGGATTTCCAACAGGTGGCAGACTTTTACCAGCAGCTGCCACCTTCTCTGGCTCCATACTGAAGATCAAATGGCCAACTGGCCAGAAAGAATTAGCAACAAGAAACTCTGACCGGGAATAAGCCAACCAAGAACCGATCGCTCAAGAAAGAGGCAGAAGAAAGTGGAGATGGATTGGGCATACGTTGAGAAGGCCGTCGACTGACAATTCGCCCAGTGCAGGTCATTCTTCGAGTGCAATCACATTGGGGAGCGACGAGTGGGTCATCCTAGGGTGACATTGAGGAGATCATGTGAGGAAGAGATGATAGTTTGGACAATCGTGGACCCAGCTGAAGAGGATGGCAGAAAACAGAAGAAAGTGGAGATGTGCTTTTGAATCCCTATGTTCCACTCGGACCTCAAGGGAATAATAATAATATATGAAAGAATATAGTAGAATAAATTAAATTAATGGGTAACTATACAAAATACAAGATGAATAAGAAGACGGAAAGAATTAGGAGACTTCCTGTTCATTCACACTTCAGATTCAAACTATATTCGTTCGTTTTTAAATTAGGCTAGGAATAGTAATAGCTCAAAGATAACGTCTCTGACTGCACTACTGGCTGATGTATGTTCAAATTTCTCAGGGAAAATCAGTCCCTTCAGAGTTATACTTAATGATTAATACTAATACACAAAGAATTTGGGTTCGCGTTCTATTGTTACCTGGAAAAGTCCAGCAACAATTGCTTCTTTTCAACCACTGTAACACTTT